GTGCAAAGCTGCCGATCACCCCTTCATTCACCGGCGTCGAATTGTCCATTCGATCAACCAACTCCATCCTATCCGTCACCCTGACCCCTTTATTCACCGGTGTGACGTGGTGTTTCTTCTCTCCGATATATCAAGGGCGACTCCATGCTCCAGTTGCTCGCGTTGTGAGGGCTACGGTCATTGTTGCAGCGACGATGACGTGGTGTTTCTAGGTGTCGACGAAAAGTTGGTTGATTTTGGGTGTCACCGCTACAATCGCCCTCTGATCTGTTGTGTGTAGTTTTGGGTGTTGGCGATGAGGTGGTGATGGTGCTAGTGGTGAAAGTCTAAAGTTTTGGGAGGGTAGTTGGTGGTGGTTTGCAAATTGTAGCAGCATTTTTAGTTGGGTGGTGGTGGTGGTTGTTGTGTTGGCTGCGGTGATGAGGTATTGGTGATGTTGGTGGTGCTGGCGGGGTGGAGGTAGTGATTGACGACGGCTATGATAGTGTTAGTGGTTAAGGTGATGGTCGTTGATGACAATGGTGGTGTTGTGGTGCTGGTGTCGGTGTCGGTAGTGGCGACAACGGCGATGACGATGGCAAGTGAAATGAAAAGTGTTTGTGACCAACTATTTAGATGTTTGCGACCAGCTATATGGTTGATTTGTGATCAAGTATTAGTACTGCATCGTGATTGAGGGTGGTGGTGAGGATGGGGTGAAGTGTTTGGTGTATATGACCAACTATGTGGTTATTTGTAATTCGTGATTGGAAAATAATTTATGACCAACTATTTTGAAAATATGTTAGCTTTAAATAAGTTGTGACCTATAAAAATTGTGATTTATAACCAACATATAAATTTTGTAACTTATAATATTTTAGTTTGTGAGTGAAAAATAATTTGTGATCAATTAATGTGATAATATGTGATCAATAAATAAATTGTGATCTATAAATATGTAACCGTGACAATTAATTATATAACCGGTACTTGTTGTGTTTAATTCATAAAATATTTTTAATTATTTAGTCATCACTCAAGATTTTAAAATTTAAACTTATTGTCCGATTTTTGAATTGTCCTATACTTTACACCTAAGATATGATTTTTCCCCTTTTTCAATTTAGGATTCAATATCCGATAACATGGCAAATTGGATATGAATTTAACAATCAAATATTCGTTGGATGATTGGATCAGATAATTATTTTTATGGATGAGATGTGTGTAAATCAAATCCATTTACATCCCTAATAATAGGTTTTTTGTTTCATTTAATCATGATTTTAAATGCACGTGGGTTGCCCAACTTTGAACAAAGTTGTATTCGGGTCACTCATTTTCGATTTAATGCAATTAGATCATTTGACTTAATCTATAAATAAATCTAGTCACTTATCTTCAATTTGATACAATCAGTCACTCAATTTCGAATTGCTTGCAAATATGGTAATATGGCTTTTATTAACTACTAGTAAGACGCACGTGTCATAGTATAGTTGGCTATATGATAGCTTAAATATATAAAAAAAAATTATTTGTCTTAAACATTAGTTGCATTAAATTTAAAACACTTGAAATAATGATATGTGACAAAAATAATATTAAGATATT